CTAGGTACCAGTGTCAGTAGGACATGTTCTTAGAGGTCTTCTGAAATTTTTTATTCTATCACAATCCAAAACAGCATCCATTTTTAAAAGTTACCCAAAGCTATAGTCTGAGACCATAGAAACATTTTCTTTTTTTGAAAAATGTATCACCTTTGGACTTGGTGTGTTTTTGCCTCTGTACAATAATTGACAGCAATCTAAGCCTGTGTATATTACTTCAAAAAATATAATTCATATTTTTTCAGGACTTTTCAGTGTTCATTTTTTACAAGTCTAGTGATGTAATTTTTTTCCAATATTATGCATAAGTAATCTATTACTGTAGCTTTAGATTCTTGTAACATAATGTAATATCTAGGCCTAAAGATTTTTTAATTAATTGGATTATTTAATTGCAAAATATATCTAATATATATTTTATAGAGAATGCCATAAATAGAGAATAGAAATAAAATTTGTCTTCAAGAATATAAAGATTTGAATGGGATCCTGCTAATGTTTGATCAGAGCCTCACTGGATTTCCAAATGCCTAATTACAAAATTCTCAAAGTATTCTGTGATATCTACAGAGTTCATTAATGAGAAATACTCATTTTGATTTTAGGAGTATATTTCCAAAGTTATGTAAGAGGGAACTCTTTATATATCAGTGGAAATAAACTGCTTGCAATTTTCTCTTAAACATGTTTTGGAATGGATACTTTCTATTACTAATCTGTAGTCATTCTCATAACCAGTGTCTGACAAGATTACATGCTGCCTCACCAAGGTTTGGTGACTTTTTTATAATTTTATTCACATGGTTCACTTTCTGTTCTTCCCTTCTGATTTGTTTTCAATTGGGAATATTTTTTATTAAATCTTTTATTTTCATTACTACTTGAAGTTTATGGCCAGTTGTAAAATTTTTCAGTGATTCCAAGTACTGATACCAGAAATATTTTGGATTAACATATTTATTTGTCTTTATTTTCTGGTTCATATGAATATTATATACATAAGATTACCCCGCTCTCTGTTAAAAAAGGACATTGTAAGTTAATTACTTTGGCTTATTATTCTGCAGCTTTATCTTAAATAGATAATATATGCAATCTTGCTAAATTCACAATAGCATATAAATAGTATCATTTACAATGGAAGATTAACAAAAGAACCTCTTTCTTCATCACAGACTAAGAATGAATTTCTACAAAACTAGTGTTCTTTTTGTCTTTAAACCACTTTTCTCTTAACTGGCTGTCCTAAATTTTTATTTAGAAAGAAAGCATTTTGCATGCTAGGAGGTAAGAAACATAAGGAAGGTAATTATAATGGAATTTAAATAATTCACTTACATTTCTTTAGCAACAAAATAAAGCATGTTCTCTTAGGGTTTATTTTTTTATAAGCGCTAAAATATGTCTTTCAAATTACTAATATTATAAAAGAAACCACACAACACTGTCATCTTCCCAGCTCAAATATTACTGTTTTCCAACAACAGATTTGGCAGTCGTTCAGAGGCAAGTAGTATTAGGCTTTTTAGATTTTCAAATATATCTGAACTGCTGTTGATTGCTCCCCAAATCAGGTCAGATACACTCTGCAGGAACATTTCCCAGAGGTACTGTATGTTCAAATGGAAGATTTTCATGTTTCACAGTCAGCCTCATTTATTTTCCAGACCTCTAAATTTTTCATGCTAAGTAGCAGCATCTCACTTTGTGAACAATGGGGTCTTTATTAATTAAACAGAGTCAACAGGGTTGATTTATTCTCTCTCTTCTCAGTTGAATTACCAAGCACACAAATCAGAGAGGAAATATTTCTAATAGTAGAATGTTCTCCAAGCCAGTAAATCTGGGATTATCTCATCATACTGATTATGTCAAAGCTCTTTAGTCACCATGCTCACCAGGACATAAAATTGAATCGTATACACACAAATGGCCCCGTTGCAGCATCACAGGAAGAATTCCAAGTTTTTCTTACAATATTCAGAAAGCCCTAATTATTAACAAAAAACAGAAAAACAGCCATGATCTTTATTGAATATCTACTCTTCACCAGGCACTTTACATGCATAACCTGTGTTTCAGAAGCATTGGTTCTGGATGTTTTTACAAAAAAGCCAGGTGTGAAATGTGTACTTGAAGCATAGAAGCTAACCCTCTGTTGCTTCAGTTTTATTTTTTCTAGTGATTGGCTATTGTATTTGCATGTTTGGTGCTAAGGTGTATGTTTTTCAATTGTGTACAGAGAAGTGTGTTATGAACGTAAGATTAATCAATTAATATTTTATGGTATTATTTTGTATTTGGAGAAAGATCAGATGTTGATTTGTTGATTAAAAAGTGCCAGGGTTTCCCTGGTGGCACAGCGGTTGCGAGTCCTCCTGCCAATGCAGGGGACACGGGCTCGTGCCCCGGTCCGGGAAGATCCCACATGCCGTGGAACGGCTAGGCCCGTGAGCCATGGCCGCTGAGCCTGCGCGTCCAGAGCCTGTGCTCCGCAACGGGAGAGGCCACAACAGTGAGAGGCCCGCGTACCAAAAAAAAAAAAAAAAAAAAGTGCCAAATGAAGTTTACTGTCAAGGATGACTTTCTGGCAGAACTTTCTAATATTCATTGTTCAGAGTCTATAACTACATTTTCTTCTTAAACGTTTTACTTTTGCTTATTTTATATTATCAATTCAGTGGAATGTCCATATATGGGCAGTTATAATATTTCAAACATGAGAATTTTTTTTTAAGTCACATAAGAAAGTGTGTACCCGACCTTACCCCTCAGGTAATTAATTATGCCTGTTTTTCTTCCTTTCCAGCCTCCCCAGTTAAGGAGCATTGTAGGGGAGGAAGGATTTATAATAATCTAAATTAAAGTCTCTTCTCTGGACTAACATATTATAAATGTGCAAAGTAAATATACTAAGATATCCCATCAAGCTTTTTCCTTTCAGTTTTAAACAGGTACGTTGTACGGGACAATGTGTCCTCATTTCCCCTTGCAGTGGTATTCTAGCCCTCTGTGTTACACTCACTGGTAATTCTTTAAAACCACTTTCAAATTAGGCAGGTTTCCAGCTTTACAAAAGCCTTGAAATGAAGTTAACCTGTGCAGAATCAAATGCTTTGTAAGTTTAGCCTCCATAATAAGAAATCGCACTAAACCATTTTAAAGAGGTAATAGTAACAGGGATTACTGTCAAGAGAATAACTATTCTTTGTATCACTTAACCACACTCTGAGGTTTTGAAACTATGAAGATATCTGGGCCTTGCCACCTCTACCTCGATCTTAAACAACTTAAGTGCATTTACTCTATCGTGAAACTATAAGTGATCTTCTTCCATGGAAAGCTGCATTTTCAATATTTAAACAGAAGAGTTGAACAATTTGTTTTGGGGGATATGGATAGAATTTAGAATATAGGACTGAAAACAAACCAAATCCAGTAATAACAGTGAAACTGACCATTGGTACTAAGTGCAACATTTCAGTTATTGTCATCAACAGGCACTAAAGTAAGTGCCTCTTTGTGACAGATCCCAAATTGTGCTCAAAGGCACACTTGTCCCATGCGTGCTAATAGGGCATGTTAGTTTAATATTATAAACTCTCAGAGAGTCGTAAAACACATTAGTATATTTAGGGCTCTGGGAAATCCTACAGTAAAAAAAACCTATTTAACTATGTTTAAACTAGTGTATCTCAAAGTTATTTGACCATAGAATTCTCTTCTTCACATAATATGTTTTAAAAACCCTTATAACACACTTCGGAAATGTTATTCTGTAATATTTTAGGAAGTAGGAGATACTTTGAGATTCACAATCTTATTTGATCCTCATACGTGCCAGCCCTCAGATGGACTTGATCTAAGACATGATGCTTCTCTGAGGTTGAGTTTGGGTAGGATGGGGGCAGGGGAAACTGATCTAGGATGGATAGGGCAGCGAGGTAAGCCAGGGCTAGAACAAGGATCCAAGGAGAAGGAATAAGTCATCCTATTCCAGAAGCTGTCTGTCCAGGACTCAGGAGCTGGGCAGATAGTGGTGGATTTAGGCGAGTCATCCAGCTGAAGACTGGGAGTTGGATACTAGGTCTAAAAAACACCATGCATCAGGTAGGGGCATAAGTAGTGATGTTTCACCACTTCCTGAACATGCCCCATATGTTTGCACATCCTTGCTTACCTCTGCTTGTGTTCTTCCCCGAAACGCCTAGTTACTTGTTCTGAGAATATGTTAGGTACCATAGACTCAGAGATAAGAAACATAGCTCCTGCCCTAAAGGAGCTTTGTATGCAGTACAAAGCCCTAAAAATAAACAGGCATTTGTAATATGGTATAAGAGATAAGGCCATGGGAACAGATTGGAGGAATCTAGAGGGAGATTTGGTTCTTTAGAATTAGTTTGAGTTAGCTGAATAAACAAGATGGGAAGGGGGAAGATTGTAGCAGAGAAGAAAGTATTGTTGAGGCAGGTAAGAAACAAGGTATTTCGTACTATGGAATATGTATTTGATCCAGAAGGCATTAGTTGGCACTGAATTTTTAGCAGGTGAGCAGCAGTGTATGATCTGTCATTTAGGAAGATCTCTTGGCTGGAGTGGAGGATGAATTAAAAAACTAGAACAGAGGCAAAGAGACAAGCTGTTTCAGTGACCCAGGCCATAGCATTGGAAAAGGAGAAAGGAAAAGATTCCAGAGATGTCACAGAAAGACAACCACAGGACTTGCTGATGGATAAAGAAGAGTGAGGAGTCAAAGATGACACATTCTCCTGCATTCTTTTGTTTTTGGTTTTGTTTTTTACCAAAGAATAAAGAAAAAAATGGGTTTTGTTGAACCTAAAAACGTACCTAAGACTTTTAAAAACTATTGGATCCAGTCCCAACTGCTCCCTAATTCAGGAGACTGCAGTAGGGTGGAAGCAGTGTCGCTGGGATCGCCGCTTGCACGGTGGGTAGAAGCAGTCTTTCAGATTGTAATTGTATCGCTTTTTCTTCCCAAGTCACGTAACACAGACTACATCCTGGATGCACCCCGTGATGAGCGCACTGACCCTGTCCTGCTCAGAGGAGAACGAAGAGGATTGCTCCAGAGAACTTCCTGACCAGAAGAATTGATGGTTTTGTGTGGGACGCTGCGGTCCATGGTCTTCTGGAATCTCTGTCGACGTGGAGGACTCTGACACGCGACATCTAATATAGGAGTAAAACACACACTATTTAGTGAAGTGAAATGGAGATTGGATTTAAGCTATTTTTGTAAAACTTTTTGATATAACTGTATACATTTACAAAATTAATTGCCACTACAGTAGTTCTTTGGGAATAATCTAGTCCTGTTTTTGAAATCATATGTAATTAGATTTTATAATATATATAATTTTCATATGTAATTATGTAATTTTATATTTAGTTCATTATAGAATATCAGACACAGTGGTTTTTATAATTAAGACATTGAAAAATTACATGAACATAGTGAAACACTTCATTTATTTGGTAATTCACTAACATTTTATATGCATACCTTAGGAAAGTGATTTAAGCAAGCTTTTCCACAGGCCACTGGATATATAGCTTACATCTTTATGATGCTTTCTAATTTACAAAATGCTTTTCAGACCCTGTTTTATGTAAACCATACAACACGCCTGTGAGGCAACTTCACTGGGTATTTTTCAGTTAGGAAAAGAGCAGTTCAGAGAAATGAAGCACCTTGTCCTGGAGCTGAGGCTCACACCCTCACCTTCCGATTCCATGTCCAGGCCCCTTTGCCCCACACCCTGCTGTCCCTGCAGAGGCAGGTCGCAGCCCGACACACAGGGTTGCATGTCTCTGTTGATGCAGCTGAGCTCCACAGCTGTGTAGCCCTGGGGCCACAGAGACTCAGGGGGCACTTGTTCATTCCAACATGGCCCCCACCCAACCTCATGGTTCTCCTATAAACTCTTCCCCCAAACACTCACCAAGCAGGGGCATGGCTTTGTGATGTTGATTCAATGGGCTTCTTTCAGCAGCTCACATTTTTCTAAAGTAAAGGGACTGACTCCCTTGTGGGATTTGCCCTGCTGGGTTGTCCTTGCTAGAGGGAGTGTTGAGGGGAGCTGATGAATAGAGGGGCATCTGGAATCTATGTATCAAAAGAGACATCCTTGAACTCCTCTGCTGTGCATTCCAGACTGACCTCATTATTGCTGATATCAGCCTCCAGACCGATTATGCTTCCGATCTTATTTCATCTTGTTGTAAGGATGCTACTAGACAGTTTTTGGAAGGAATGAGCCATTGACTTGGAGTGCTAAAGATTTTCTCTCCATTTAATGATTTAAACCTGGGGCTGGGAAGTTGGGGTGGGGGGTGGGCAGGGAGGAGGAAGTCATTTTAAATGCTCTGGGCATTAAGTACCAACTGAATAATAAAAAGGGACTTATCCTTATGCAGTGTTATTATATAGTTAGGTGATGTACTGTACTGAAGAAGCAAGTGAGCAAGAATCATTCATTAATCAGAATACTGTTCCCAAACCACCCGTGATAACACAGAGACGTTATCGTGTCTGTCTGGCCTCCTCTTCTCCCCACCACCACTGCCCTTCTTCTTCCTTCCCCTCTTCCTCTCCTCACTCCCTTCTCTCTCTCTCTCCCGCCCTCCCCACCTCTGAAATACAAGTAAGAAAAAGGAACTCGGAGCCTTGAGGATCACTTGACTCAGTGATTTTCAAACATCTTTTGGTGAAAAAGACTCATTTTTCAAATGAATTCTTAAACAGAATCTCAATATTTGTAACAGATTTTTTTTTTAAATATTGCTGTCCTGCTTCAAACAAGATGGAGGCCCGAAGCCCAATTAAAACAGCCCCCAGGGCTTCCCTGGTGGCACAGTTCTTGAGAGTCCGCCTGCCGATGCAGGAGACGCGGGTTCGTGCCCCGTTTCGGGCAGATCCCACATGCCGCGGAGCGGCTGGGCCCGTGAGCGATGGCCGCTGAGCCTGCGCGTCCGGAGCCTGTGCTCTGCAAA